GGGCTCCCAGTCTTTCTGCACACCACCCTTCCCCAAGACTTTAGGGATTCTGGGTCTTGGCTGGCAGCTCCTGCTTCTACCTGCTTCCCCCCACCCCACCCCTCCACCTTGCCTGGCCTCTCTTGTCCCCGATCGAATGGCCAGACATGTTTCCAGAAGGCTCACACACTCTTCTCACTAGTCTCTGCCTTAGCCTTTCTCAACCCCTCCTTCCTGGTCTGTTCCACCTGGGAATTCCGGCAGGTATCAATCAATGAACTCATTCGCTGCTCAACATCTATGTTGTGTGTGTCATCCCCCCAAGGTGGTCATCACTATTCATTCAACCCTTATGTTAGTTCAGCAGAGGAGCCCTGGTGGTAGAGTGGTTGTGCCTTGGGCTGCTAATCACAGGGTCTGTAGTTTGAAATCACCCATCACTTTTTGGGAGAAAGAGGAGGCTTTCTACTCCAATAAAGAGTTACAGTCTTGGAAACCCACAGGGGCAGTTTTACTGTGTCCTATAGGGTCAGTGTGAGTTGGCATCTGGGGGCCTGTCTAGAGTCGTCCTGACGGTTTGGTCTCCGGCGGAAGGAGGCACAAGGAGCACCAGGTGGGGTTGAAGTGGGTGAGGAAGGGCTGCTTGAGAGATGAGGATTCCATTCAAGGAGGGAACGGGTGTGCTCTGCTCAGACAAGGGCTGGGCTATGGACACACATAGACCCACTGCTGCTGACTTGATTTCAACTCTGAGGCACCCTCTAGGATAGAGAAGAACTAACCCACAGGGTTTCCAAGACTGGAAATCTTTGCAGAAGCAGTTGCTACAGCTTTCTTATAAAGATCAGCTGTGGGTTCAAACCATAACTTGTGGTTCTTGGCAGAGGACTTAGCCACGGTGCTACCAGAGCTCTTTAAACCAAGAAAGCAAGCAAGCAAACCCAAACCCATGGCCCCCCGAGTCTATTCCCATTCACAGCAACCCTGTAGGGCAGCGGTTCTTAGCCTTCCTCATGCCCAGACCCTTCCTCATGTGGTGGTGACCCCCAACCACCAAATTATTTTCATTGCTACTTCATCACTGTCATTTTGCTACTGTTATGAATCGGGTGACCCCTGTGAAAGGGTCGTTCGACACCCCCAAAGGGGTCGCGACCCACAGGTTGAGAACCGCTGCTGTATAGGGTTTCCAAGACACTAAATCCTTCAGGGAAGCAGACAGCCTCCTCTTTCTCCTGCAGAGTGGCTGGTGGGTTTGAACTGAAGGCCTGGGCCACCAGGGCTCCTTAAACCCAAAATCAGCTCCCTGCGGTGGAGTCAATGCTGACTCATCCTGACTCTATAGGACAGCGTGGAACCGCCTCTGTGGCTTTCCGAGACTCGTTACAGGAGTAGAAAGCCTGGCCTTTCGCCTGTGGAGCGGCTGGTGGTTTCAAACTGCTGACCTTGCCATGAGCAGTCAGCGAGTAACCACGAAGACAGCAGGCTCCTTCCAGACCTCCTGAGGGGCTACACACACACACATGTATGCCTTTGTCTCGCTTCCCCTGGTGTCTGGGCTGGAAGGTGAGGAGGGTTGGGCAGAGTGGGATGCTGGAGTGAAGATTTCCGAGTGGAGCAACTTGGAGCACTGAAGATGAGGCAAACTGAGAGGCAGGGCACTGGAGTGCCGGATACAATGCCCACTCGGTCAGTGACAGCCTTGGCACTCGCAGGAGAGGGCACGGGTCAGCACATGAGCCCTGATCCGAGTCCTGAGGCCCTGGGAGAGGTTTAGAGAGAGGGAAAGGGGGAGGTACTTGGGGCAGGTGGCTGGACCTAGAGGTACAGAGGGTGGGAGGACCAACGTCCTCTGTCCTGACTGCCCCCCATCAGCTGACCTACTCCCCTCTGCTCTCTTCCCATCAGCTTGATTTTTGGGGTAGTGACCGTTGTGACTGGCATCATCGGGGTTGTCCTGGGAGCAGAGGCTGCAAGGAGGTACAAGAAAGTCAACCCAAGGGCTGAGCCCCTCATCTGTGCCTCCAGCCTGCTTGCCACAGCCCCCTGCCTCTACCTGGCTTTCGTCCTGGCCCCAACCACCCTCCTGGCCTCCTACGTAAGTGAGGGTGTCTTCGTGGGCTGGGGGGTGGTGGGGTGACGAACTAAGGCCATCCCCGGGTCTTTTTTATTTTTTTAAATAAATAATTTTTATGGGGGGTGTCACAGCTCTTATCACAATCCACGCATTGATTGTATCAAGCACATTTGTACATATGTTGCTATCATCGTTTTCAAAACATTTTCTTTCTAATTGAGCCCTTGGTATCAGCTCCTGTTTTCCCCCTCCCCTCCCCACCCACCGTGCAAACCCTTGATACATTATAAATAATTATTATTGTCATGTCTTACACTGTCCGTTGTCTCTTTTTACCCACGTTTCTGTTGTTCATCCCCCTGGATGGTGGTGGTGGTGGTGTTATACGTCAGTCATTGTGAATGGTTTCCCCTTTCCCCCTTCTCCCTCCACCTTCCCCCTACCCTCATGGTATCACTACTCTCATTACTGTTCCTGAGGGGTTCCTCTGTTTTAGATTCCGTGTGTTGAGAGCTCTTATCTGTACTATTGTACATGATCTGGTCTAACCAGGTTTGTATGATAGAACTGGGGTCATGATAGTGGGGGGAGGAAGACTTAAAGAACTAGAGGAATGCTGTGTGTTTCGTTGTTGCTATACTGCACGCTGGCTGGCGACCCTTGTGTGAGGGGATGTCCAATTGTCTACAGATGGGCTTTGGGTTCCACTCTGACCCCCATCGTTTGCATCAAAATGGTTGTTTGCTTGGGGTCTTCTGATGCCTGATACCTGATCCAGTCAACACCTCGAGATCACACAGGCTGGTGTGCTTCTTCCATGTGGGCTTTGTTGCTTCCCTGCTAGATGGCTGCTTGTTTACCTTCAAGATCCCAGACGCACCATCAGCTTTCTTCACCACATTTGCTTATGCATCTACTCTGTCTTCAGTGATCGTGTTGGGAAGGTGAGCATCACAGAGTGCCAGGTTCTTAGAACACACCGTTCTTGTGTTGAAGGAGGGCTTGAGGAGAGGGCCAATGTTTATCTGCTACCTTCATATTTAACATATAATATGTATATAGACCTATATCCCTATAGTTATATGTAAATATATTTACATATACACATGCCTTTATTTAGACCTCTACAAATGTCTTTGTCTCCTAGTTCTTTCCTCTGTTACCTTTTACTTTCCTTCTGTCCCACTATCATGTTCGACCTTCATTTGGCTCTTTGTACTTCCTCTCGGCTACATTGCACTTGATCGAACCCCACCAGGCATCCTACGCCTCCTCGCCTTGATTTTAGACCTGGAGTGGGGTGGGCTTCAAGGTGGGCCTGAAGTTGGCCTGCTCAGCCCTTTCTTACCTCCTGAGCTGTTTCAAAGCTGCTCTAAGTCCAGTAGTGAGACCCTCATCCCTGAGGGGAGCAGTTCTACGCTGCCCTACAGGGTTTCTGTGACCCGGAATGGACTCAATGGGAGGGGTTGGTTTGGTGTATTAATCTGGTGTAATACATTGATAGATTTCTCTTGCATTCCTGGGGTAAACCCCTCTTGGCCTTGATGTAGAAACCGTTTGAGATGCTGTTGAATTCAGTTGGCCCAGTAGTTGGTCAAGGGGTTTTGCGTCGGTTTCTTTTCCTGGGTGGGCTTGGCTTTCTCACTGCCCAGTTCCTGGATGCAGGTGACATAGCCACCACTGTCCTCTCAGCCTCCCCTCTTTTCCTCTCCCTGTGTGGCCTTTCTAGCTCCTTCCTGCCAGGCCCTCTTGCATGTGTGTGGGGTGTGTGTGTGTGTGTGGGGGGGGGTGTCTCCTCTTCATGACCAGTCTAGGCTGTGTCCCCTCCATGATGCCCACTGGACCCCTGGCTAAACTCCAGAAGTATGGTGGCCCTCTCTGCGACCCCTCCTGTCTAGCATCCATACCCCCAGGTGATAGGCACAGGGTATCCGAGGCACTCTATGCAGGCTCCCGGGTGGCCCTGTGCAGGTGACCTGCATTAGCCAGCGTCCAA